CTAGAGGGATCTGTGATCTGTTAGGCGCTATATAAATACGGTATTATTATTATTATTATTATTATTATTATTATTATTATTATTATTATTATTATTATTATTATTATTATTATTATTATTATCTGTATTTTGGCTCCAATATTTATCGAAAATCTTAAGCTCAAATTTTTAAAGCAATCGTACACTCTATAAGCTTGTGGTAGATTTTACTGTATTTGTATTTGTCTCAACCCTATTCATGAAACTAAAACGGGTTTTCTCAGAAATTTATTAAAACTGGGCATACCAGTTTCATATAATCTATTTGTAACTACTAGGCCTATATGTAGGTAGTCTAGAGAAAAAAAACTGGTTGTATTTTTTTTTTGTACTGATGATGGGTTGCTGTTAATCCGAAACAATACAATTGTTTGTGTTATTTATTTCTTAGTTCTTTTGGTTCAATTACATTTACTGGTTTCTTTGGTAACGAAATTCAAGAAAGCGTCTATTAGCATACATATGTAGTTCACAGGAAAAGTCTTGGTTTTATTTTCATTTCTTCTGTTCTTTACTGATGAAGGTAGGCCTATGTTGTCAATCCGAAACATGTTTTCATTTAAATCGTTTGTGTTATTTATAAGGACTGGGACATAATGCTCTCTCTTCCAAATTGTTTTGCTTTGGTGGATAATACATACCGGTATTATTAATTTGTAGGAGCGGTTGGCGCACCGGTTGTGGCTTGGACTCCCAACCTTGAGGTCGGGGGTTCGAAACTGGCTGTGCAAATCGCTTGTATCATTGGGCAAGGCACGTTATCTACGGTTGCCTCTCTCCACCCAGGAGTACAAGTGGGTACCTGGTAGGTTCCAACACAACCTGCGCTGATTACTAACTGCAATTTATGGATGGTAATATGATTTCATTTACTAATTTAATTTGGTGTTTTAATGTGTTCCATATGTGTTTGATCCAATGACCGGGGTAGTAATGTGAAGCGCTTAGAGGCCTTGTAAAGGCATGAAGCGCTATATAAGAACGACATATTATTATTATAATTCAAATATCTTAAAATGGATAAGCAGCAGTGGCGGACCGTCAAGGAAAGCAAGGTATGCAGTGCCAGGCCCGTAGGCAGGGAAGGAGAGGGGGAGGGGGGTTCAGAGGGTGCGGACGCACCCCCTCCCCCCAAATTCCAAAAGGTCCACTTTTTAAAACCTATTATTTCACAAAATCGTTCCTAATTATCACAAAATGCTATAGCAGGCATTGCATTATATATTTGCCAGCACATCCAGCTGTTGGTTTTAAAAATGATATGAAATTTGTTGGAAATTTATCGTCTCCGGTGACTGCAGATTGATCTATAATATAAACAATGTTATCTGTAGGCCTGCAGATATACAGGACATAATAACGTTACTTTTTCAGACCCCCCAAAAATCCCAAATTAATGAAAATTTAAATAAAATATTCACAAATTATGTGTTTGAGAAATCCATTATATAAGACCCTCAAAATGCTACTTTGTCGGAGCCTCCTGGGGCTTTTCTCAAAAACCCCCTCCAGGTCTCTGCCCCTGGACCACCAAATTTCAAAAAGTTCACTTTTTAAAACATATAATTTCATTAAAATCTTTCCTAGTATGCATTACATTTTTTTTGCCCGCTCTTCTAACCGTTGATTTTTAATAATGTGCTACGAAATCTGTTGGAAATTATCAGCTCCAGTGATTGCAGATTGATCCATGTCATCTGTAGGCCTACAGATGTAAAGGACATAAAAAGTTACAAATTCACAGTGGCGGATTAGGGGGTAGGGGAGAGCTCCCTAAAATTATAAAAGAAATGGAGAAAAAATAAAAATCTTAATTAAATTTTGTTTGAGAGTGCCATTTCCGGCCATCTAGAGGTGCCATAATCCTAATTTTTTTACCTCAGCCCCACCACGTTTGGGGTTATTAACCATCCGTCTGTGAAAGTTCCTCCCGGCCCTGGACCCCACCCTCTATTTCTCCTGCTTTATGCCCCTAAACAATACCTAAATGAATGAAAATTTATATAGAATATTACGAATTATAGGTTTCAGAAATCAATTATAAGGCCCTCAAAATGCTAATTTGTCAGACCTTCCAGGGAACTCACCCCCGCCCCCCGCGGGGATCTCTAGGCGGTCGCCCATCCTAAGGTCTGCTTTGGTCGCAAAAACGCACCTTCCCATCGAAAATCCTGCCTATGGGCCTGGTAAGAGGTGAATTTTGTAGCTGTCTCTTATACACATCTAGATGTGTATAAGAGACAGATATAAATATATATATATATATAAAAAATACATACATTTGTTTCTCCCCGACAAATTGTGCTTTTTCTCCTCGACGGGGGAGGGGGAAGCTCTCCCCGACGGGCTCCCACTACTTTGCTTTCGTGGGGGAAATCTGACTATTTTGAGAGAACGAAGTATTATTTCGTTCCCTCGAATAATATTTTGTTCGAAATAATATTTCGAGGTAAAGAAAAAATATTTCGTTCCCTCGAAATATTATTCGTTCCCTCGAAATAGTTTAATATTTTCTTTAACCATGTCCCTTTAGGGGTTCCGTAAAAAAGTAACTGTAATACAGAATTTGCACGCCGAAATCGAGGAGAACGCTATCTTGTTATTATAAGATCTTTGATTACAGTACTGGCAAATTAAAAGGTCTTATAACAACAAGATAGCGCTCCCCGTGGTTTGCGTATATAAGTGTCCAATACACGCAGAAAACAAAAGAAAGTAATTGTAATTGATAGAGGGCGTCCTAGTTGTTAGAATTTGCACGGGATCATAGATGTCAAAGTTCAAAAGTAATTGTAATTGCAAGAGGGCTTCCTACACATTGCGTTATTACCTTGACATAATTTGCACGCAGAAATCGCGGAGAACGCTATCCTATAAGATATTTGATTATTGGCAAGTTACTGGGAAGTCCCTTAGTAGCGGGCGTCCTACACTGGTTGCATATTTTGTTGAATTGCCTTGTAATTACAGTATGGTGCATCGTTTTGTTACGCTCTCAATCAATTGACTACTTACATTATACAAATTCAAATTGTTCAAACTATGTTTATCTGTGTACATAATGTATTTATTCTATTATAAACAAAATATTCACAACAAACAGTTTAAACTCTGTTAACAAAATGCAGTACTGAGTAGTTGATAAATTGATGGGAACAAACCCTTTTTTAAATTAAAATTTTTTTTATGTCTTCTTCAACTTTTGACATTTCTTATTACCATCAATTATTATATTTATGAGATAGTTATTAAACCAGTCCATTTTTGAAACCAGTCTGCTACACTTTCTGAAATTCCCGAAAAATATATTAAATTTAAAAAAATAAATAAATAAAAATAAAATAATGTAAATACATTTGCATATTATTATGCGAGTCTTTCGTGTGAGAAACCTCAACTCTACATTAATTTAAAGTTCGGAACCTACCACCTATGAATATAAATACATATAGGCCTATTATTATGCAGAACATTTTAACCGTTTTATTTACTTTTTTTAATATATGATAAACTTACAACCAAAAAGGCACATGATGCAATGCAACTAATTGCATTTTTTTTTCTTTGAGAATAAAAAAGAATCTCAGCCTCCACCGGGAATCGTACTCGGGACCTTTCTCTTACACGGTTAACGTCTTACCAACTAGACCATGAAGGCTTTCGTTGGTTGATTCGATCCGGTAGCCACTGAGAGTCCTTCAACATTCTCAACGCATCCCCCATGCCAAAGCCCGTGCATGCCTATAGGATAATCAAAAATCTGAATAGATACACCCTCTACTGTATATTATGTAAGGCTGGCTGGATCCCGAATATATAGAAGACATTATGTATGCAAAGGTTATTATTGATAATTTTCATTACTATGGACTATGTGGACTACAAAATTAGAGGTTTTATAATATTAGGCATAGGCAGTTAGAAATCAGATTTTTAATTGTAATAAAGTCTTACACGTGCACAGTTGTTATGCAAGTTCACTAATTTTAACGATAAATGACAAATAACCCACTCATTAGATTTGTTATCTTTACTTATATCAGTTAAATACGGAATAAAATCAAAACAGATAAATTGACTTCAGGTTGTGGGTTTTTGTAGGAAAATATTTTTTATTTTAAATATTTATCAATAGGTTTACGCTTATCTTTAATAAAGAAACCCTGAACTTTTACGGCCCTATTCCTCAGATACACTCGCTTAGCCTTCATCTTGGTACAAAAGCATACGCTGAGAGCAACGGAGAACACAAATGCAAGAACAAAGAGAAAGCATGCAGCTGGTACAATTACGAACCAGAGGCTTCCTTCACTGTCCAATTCATTTACTGAAAGCGATAGAAAGAAAATTTGTTACTTAAAAATATAATTTATATATTTATATAGCACAAATTATAAAACAACTTTAAAATCAAATGCGCTTCTGACTGAAAGTTGTAATGTTAGCTTCGAAGGTAGATATTGTAAACGACTGCTTAAGAAATGGTAGAAAGTTGCATAGAGTAAAAGCTGAAAATGTGAAAGATCTGTTGCCGCTAGTTTTGAATTTGGTTAGGATAACAGACAAAAGGCATTGGTGAGGGGACCGAAAAGACCGAGAAAGGGTATATTAGGAAAGAGGTCAAGAAGGTAGGATGGTAGAGCAAATTTGAGAGCTTTCAAATTTAAAGAGGTGAATTTTGTAGTTAATCTGGTCATACATTTTAAGCGAATGAAGATAATAGGTGTAATGTGTGAGCGTTTGTGAAAGTTTGATTCTTGTGACAGTATTTTGTATTCGTTGAAAACTGCTAATGGAATTTTTGGGAAGGCAAAACATGAGATAACTACAGTAGTTTTAGCAAATATAATGAAGGCATATATAATTTGAGTGGTATGGCTCGAGAGATATTCTTTAATAAATGCTGACTATATATGCTGTCTCTTATACACATCTAGATGTGTATAAGAGACAGAGCATACGCTGAGAGCAACGGAGAACACAAATGCAAGAACAAAGAGAAAGCATGCAGCTGGTACAATTACGAACCAGAGGCTTCCTTCACTGTCCAATCCATTTACTGAAAGCGATAGAAAGAAAATTTGTTACTTAAAAATATAATTTATATATTTATATAGCACAAATTATAAAACAACTTTAAAATCACATGCGCTTCTGACTGAAAGTTGTAATGTTAGCTTCGAAGGTAGATATTGTAAACGACTGCTTAAGAAATGGTAGAAGTTGCATAGAGTAAAAGCCGAAAATGTGAAAGATCTGTTGCCGATAGTTTTGAATTTGGTTAGGATAACAGACAAAAGGCATTGGTGAGGGGACCGAAGAGACCGAGAAAGGGTATATTAGGAAAGAGGTCAAGAAGGTAGGATGGTAGAGCAAATTTGAGAGCTTTCAAATTTAAAGAGGTGAATTTTGTAGTTAATCTGGTCATACATTTTAAGCGAATGAAGATAATAGGTGTAATGTGTGAGCGTTTGTGAAAGTTTGATTCTTGTGATAGTATTTTGTATTCGTTGAAAACTGCTAATGGAATTTTTGGGAAGGCAAAACATGAGATAACTACAGTAGTTTTAGCAAATATAATGAAGGCATATATAATTTGAGTGGTATGGCTCGAGAGATATTCTTTAATAAATGCAAATTTGAGAGATTTGTTTACTAGATTGATGTTGTTAGTCATGGTGAGATTTTCGTCAAGAATAACTCCAAGATTGTTTACATTAGAGGAAGGATAAATAATGGGGATGTATTTTTATTGTAGAGATATATTAGAGCTAATGTTAATTGAACCAAAACTAATGAATTGTGAGTTGTCACCATTTAAACGGAGCATGTTGATGGATAACCAGGCATGAATTTCAGAAATGCAGTTTTCAATGCGTAGCTTAAAAGAGATGGCATCAGATGGATCAAAGTCGATTCATAATTGGATATCATCAACATAAAGATGGTAATATAAATTATGCCGAGATAAGTGTACACTTGCAGAGTTTGTGTGCGATAAGCTAGCAGCCGCATACAGATGACTGACTGTCCTTAAACATTTAATTCGGTTATACTTGCCTTCTCTTACTTGAAGGCTTGGTAAGTCGAATGTAATGTCAGTATCATTTATTGATTTGAGTGCTTGGCTAAATGCTTCCTTTACTTGCTGTTCTCCAGCGGATTTGTCGGTGACAACCAAGCTCATGTCCACAAATATACTTCCTTGTCGAAATCCAGTGATCTTGATGTCCTGCAGTATGTCAGAGATGTCGGCGACTTCTTTCATCTTTATCAACAAAAAATGAATAAAATAAGTAAAGACAGCACATCTAACATCATTACGTCTGCATTACTAGGCATACCAGGGAACAGTTGTAATTTTACTGTACTCTAGGCATATTTATCAAGCAATGGTGGTGTGGCTGCATAAAACGTCTCAAGAGTAGCTTCATTAACAAAGCCAATATTTGTCCAGCCTTGAGCCAACTGCCAGGCCTCTGCTGGCTAACCCCACCACCGTAAATGCTACTGATATCTGGCCTAAGCCTATAACAATATACTACCACTAACACGACACATTTAATGTGTATTAGCGTACAAATAATTATAATTGTTCGGCTGGGATGGGAAAACTAATGTAGGACAGAAGGGAAACATACCATTTTTGAAAACATCAATAGATGGGCATATAATAATATCAAACACCGGCCCGACAACTTATCTTAAAAAGTTATTGCAGAGGGTAAGAAGAGGATATAATAACCAATTTTATATACCATTACCGCTGATATCTAACAACAGGAAATAGTTTAGTAATGCCTTCCGATCCACAGCAAATTATAAAGTATTTTAAAGCTGCAAATTTACACCAAATTCGAATTTTCGGATCGGAAAGTCTACCGAACCGATCCGAAAATGGAATCAGTGTGTTAGAATAGGAACGCTGGCGTTCAGTGCATCGGAATCGCAGTCCAAATGTCGGTTGGGATCCGATATTAATGCAGCTTTAAAGGGAATTATCAATCAAGCATTTTAGAGCATGAACTCTGATAGCACTCTACCATGACCTCTTAAGAAACCTAGTGGAAGATTCTCTAGAGGAAACCAAACAAAGTAGGCCTACCAAGCACCATTAGAAGAACACTTATATCAAGCACTGCTCAGACTGTCATGATGACATCATAATAGGCACATCATGACTATATATGGGCACTCCATGACCATATATAGGCACATTATGACTATATATGGGCACATCATGACCATATATAAGCACATCATGACTATATATGGGCATACAACAGTTTTTGTCAAACAAAATTTGATATACAGTATTGTGGATAAAGCTTCATTAATGTCACTTTGATTTATACATTAAATTAAAAGATATTAAAAAATGCGATTAATTAATTATGTGATTTATTTCATAATTGACGATTGATACAGTTTAGGAATAAAATTGCTCTTTCTGTAAGCATTTTAATTATGTTTTTTTTTCTGTGATTTTCTTTCATATTGTACATTCACATAAGTATTTGAAATTACCATGTTCTTAACAGACGTGTATACATCTTTGAATTCTTGAGATGTTGAATCTTCTAACGCTTCTGAGAACTGAGCTTCACCATCACCAAACAGAGAACGTAGTTGAGTGAGTCGGATAGATGTTTCGAAACACTGTCCCACTAGAAGGGAGAGAAAATTATAATTAATAATTGACAATTACAACAACAGCAGCAGAAAGAGCCTCTGCAGCAGCAACAACAACAATGACAACAATAATAACTAGACATATTTTTACTGTTGTTAAAACAGAACATAGGGATTTTCCTCATTGGCACAATGGCAACTGATATTGAAATTAGAAGTAAAAACAAAATCATATATATACTGTATATATAAAATATGGAAAATCACTCGACGCTACTGAGACTCGAAAGAATGCTGCAATGGTTTTGTTTACGAGCAGTTTAGCTTACTAGCGAAAATTTTAATTTTGCGTTTAACCGGGCTTCAGATAATTTGAATTGCTTCAGGAAACAAAAATTGCGTTAACATAAAATTTAATTACCTGTTTATAAATATTTTCTTTGATGAATAAAGTCATATTTTAATATGTGCATCTTTGATATAGGCCTATGGTCAGGACTAAAGTGCTGGACAGAAAATCCTTGTGCAAAGAAACAGGAAAACGGAATAGAACAAAAACAATGGCTTTTCACTAACGTGGTAATGTATCATCTCATCTTCGAAATAATTATCAAAGAAAGAAAATCAGTGCATTTACTGACATGAAATAATAACAATAAAAAAAATATCACGCTTTATAACCACAACTAGCAAAGGTGAAGTATAAATGCACGTACCAGTACTAGATCACATGACCCGTGTAATCATTTTGAAAAGTAGCTCACCTTGATCACACATGGGGCCCCTGTAAGGGCAGACACACGCACAGATCCCGACGTAGCATTTGGCACCATTACTGCAATTAGCATCCAATATACAATCATCTGAAAAATACAAATCTTGTTTAGCCAACCTGTAGCCACATGGTGGTTGAACCAATATTATTACCTTTGTTTCCAGAGTAATAGAAAGCACACATCAAGCTCTATTGAATTCTTTGATGTTTTTGATGCTTTATATCTAAAGATTCCCCTCTAGTTTCTCTAAAAGTGTTGAAATCGGCTCACTTTAATATCGGCATACTAGTGGTTTTCTTATCAGTTAAAGAGAATTAGTTCAACAAAAACATAGACCTACTATTAATAGGAAATAGGCCTATCCAAAACCGCAATACAATCAGTTTAGCTATTGTTTTAGAACTCTCTTACCTTCCACCCGCTGTACCATATTTATTGTGGATGTTGCTAATACCGAGTTTGGGATAATGGAAATTTCATTTGTTGTAGATATTTCTTTGGCGATTTCTGTTGAGAAAGGTGGTATTGTTGTAGGGCTATCAGTGGAAGATTTTTGCTGAGTTGACATCTGGTTATCTAGTTCAGTCGTTCTTATTGATGTCGTAACACTCTCCGAGTCCGTCGTTGTTGAATCTGATGTTGTGCCATCCTCAAGACTCGTTGTTGTTGGAACTGACGTTGTAAGGTCCTCGAGGCTCGTCGTTATTGGAACTGACGTTGTAACGTCCTTAATAGTTGTTGGGGCTACTGTTGTAGTGTCCCCGAGGGTCGTCGTTGTTGGGACTGACGTTGTAGGGACTGACGTTGTAGGGACTGACGTTGTAGGTACTGACGTTGTAGGGACTGACGTTGTAGGAACTGACGTTGTAGGGACTGACGTTGTAGGGACTGACGTTGTAGGTACTGACGTTGTAGGAACTGACGTTGTGGGAACTGACGTTGTAGGAACTGACGTTGTAGGAACTGACGTTGTAGGGACTGACGTTGTAGGGACTGACGTTGTAACATCCTCGAGGTTCGTAGTTGTTGGGACTGAAGTTGTAATGTCCTCAAAAATCTTTGTAGTTTGGAGTAATGTAGAAACATCGTCAAGGCTCGTTGTTGTTGGAATTGATGTCGTAACATCCTCTAGGTTCGTCGTTGTTGGTTGTTCATAATCTTCAGTTGTATGGATGAACTGCGTAGTGACAATGTTTTGGTATGGAACGTGTACTAAAAACACTTTCTCGGTAATACATGGCTGTTCTGCGTTATCCGAAGCGATGACCTTGATTACATACTCTCCTGACTGAAGATATCCGGAGACAGTTAGCTCTCCACTGTCATAATCTAATTCAAATATTGATTTTGAATCGTCGCCCTCAACCTTAATTGATAACGTAATATATCCGTTTTCACCAGTGTCTGAATCTGTTGCTGAAATATTAGTAATAACTGTCCCGTTAGTTGTGTTTAGCGGGATAGTTATGTCCGGATATTCTCCTACGAATTCAGGACAGTTGTCATTAATATCATGCAATGTGATGTCAATGGTAGAATAATCATTCATAGGTGGAGAACCATTGTCTTCAGCAACTATTGACAGAGTGATATCAGAATTTTGGCTTTCATAATCGAATTCTGCAGCAGTAAATTATTCCCTTTGCAAGTTGTTCTGGTAGCCATTAGTTTCTGACACCACTTTATTTTTCATGGATAAACACAAAACTAATTTAAATTTATTATGTCGGATTTGTGGTGCTCGGTTGAAATCATATCCCTCATGGAAAGGTGGAAAAGAACCAAGACGCTTTAAATGCTCTGAATTTTCCCCTAAAATTAAAGAATCTTTGAGAATTAATGTAGATGATGATGTTGATGGGGTTCACCCAAAATATTTTTGCTTTTCATGTATGGGAATTTTGACTTATCCCAATTCCACAAAGCCGCCTCCTCCAGAATGGCTACCACATCCCCGCTCCACTCAATGTATTACCCTGTCTCTTATACACATCTAGATGTGTATAAGAGACAGGAGTAAATCATTATACATAATGATTTACACTTAGGACATGGAACTAAGTGTAAATCATTATACATAACGTTCAAGATGAATAATCTGTAAAAGTAAAATCGTAACAATATCTCAAACAACATGTACAAAACATACCAGAACAGCCATCAACGTTGTGACAGGACAATGTGTCGCATGTGGCAGACTTCCATTGGTCGTAGCAGTCACAAACATCTACGTCCACGCAGATACCGTTACCTGAGCAATTGGCGACTCCATGACAAGTTGGAATGACGCTGCAGTCGTCACCTAAACGTTAAAGGTGTAATAATTAGCAGGGTGAATCAATTATTAAATTAATAAATCAATCAATCACTGTGGAATAGAATAAAACACAGATTTGAATTTTGGGGCTTATAGAGATATTTAAAGTAGGTCGCTAGATATTAAGATATCCTGTATAATTTTATAATTCCCATCAGCTAATTAAGGACTAATAACTGCATGCTTAATATTGTTTTGGAAAGAAAGCTACACAAAGAAGTGTATACCCAGCCTGAAGCTGGTTTGTCCGATTATCAATGATTTAATTTGCCCATCATTTGTGCAATAGGTTGATATTACTGCCTAACATTTTCTCACACGTTTGCTTAATTTCCAATGGAATTTTGTTACTTTTTAAGCTTGGTGTTAACTATTAATTACACTTTATACAAGTCTCCTCAAGCTTTCTAGAACAGTGCTGTGTCTCAGTCTCCTGTATTTTTTTTTTAAACTATTTTGATAACAACAGGAATGACCATTGTTTATATTCCATATTTTCTATATCATGGATTAATTTGGTGTGAAACACCAAGGATAACCCAAGAAAGTCCAAAGATATATTTAGAGCGGGGTTCTTCTGATGGTTATAGAGCAACACCGGGAGACAATTCCTAACTCTTTTCCGAAGAGTGCACTGCGTTCTTTAACGTACACCTGGGTCATAATACACACGAGACAAATGGCTTAAACGTGAACCTAAAATACGTGCGCTTTTTTACTCTTGCGTTTCAGTCCACCAACAGATACACAAGGAGACCCGGAAATGGAATTGAAAGGGTAACAATAGGAATCCATAGATTTAAGGACTTTTAGTACAGTTAAATGATGGTTCTGCGCATACAAAGTGGCTAAACCAGTCTAGCAAACTGAGGTAAGTTACTCGCTCTCTTACTCGTTATAGTTCCACTCCCTTATCTATATGGCCAAAATGTATTTTTTTTATTTCACCTGTAAATCCTTTGTTACATAAACAGATATTTGTTTCAAGACACATGCCATGTTCTTCATCAGTACAATTATTAACGCCGAAACAAGTGGCTGAAACAGGAAATAAAAGTGTTAAGGCTACTTCTTTGAATGACATAATAAAAATAGCATATTACTTCTTGGGAATAATAATTATTAATATGATACTCCTACAATTACTTTTACACTGTTCATTATGTGTCTAGAGTAGAAAAACTGTTAGGTTGTCTACACGTTTCAGCGAAATTGACTATTATGATTGTAATTATAAAACGCATTATAGCACTACTTTTTCATACCAAAATCTTCACATGTATCTCCTTCCCAACCTACATTACATCGACAGAAACCGGATACACACTCGCCATTTATGCAATTCGAAATGCATGAACCTAAGTACAAGATAATAAAGTTTATCAAAAAATTATAGTAGTGTATGTAGGTATCTAATATAAACATTCTAAATCATAAGATTTTTATCAGTATGGACTTATGTTACCATTTCTACAGTCTTCACCAGACCACCCAGGCAAACATTCACACGTGTTGTTGACACAAGTTCCTCGGCCAGAACACTGGTAGGGACAGCCTGGAAATTAAGGTTTAACAAAGTACCGTAAACTATAAAATCGCTATTATAATTAATAATATCATTTTTACTTTTGCAATAATAATAATAATAAAAACAAAGATTATTATAATTATAATTACTAATTATCACATATACTTGCAG